CGCTGTCTGTCCTGGAAGCTAATAGGAGCTGCTGTCTATCCTGGGAGCCAGATGCACAGCCTGTGCTGATCTGACCACTCGGTCATTGCCTTCAGGTAAGAGTGGATTTGTTGTCCACTTGTAGTGTGGAAGTTCACAAGGAAGATTTTCTTGGCTTTTCTGATATTCACAGTTTGGGATTTATGGACTGAAATTTTCACTTTAGGGTCCTTTCATAAGGGCGATCCTATCAGGTTTGCCTGTCAGTTTCTCAGGTGGGTCTGATCAGATGGAAAATGCATGCCTATGGATCAGCGTGTGTTACACCCATTTACACCTGTCTACCTCTGGGTCTGATCAGGCCCACTAAAGAAAAAAAAAAAAATTGAATGACGACTGTGTCCTCTTCTGTTTGGGCGGTCCATATCGGAGGCAGCCGAGTATAATCAGACAGGTGGTGTCCAATTAGTTCCAGTCAACCCTAGAGCAGAGCGGGGACTGTGTCTGCTATACAAAAACTGAGCAGACACGAACCTGTTATCCGCCTCGCTCTGCTACGATCAGCAGGGGATTTGTGAGTGGATCCCCTGCTGATCGGAATGCAAACTGTTTGAAAGGGCTCATATGTTGCATATGGCATTTGAGAATTATCTGTCACAATTGTATCTTCCCCAGTGGCATGGTTTTTTCACATGAAAAATATTTTGATTCAAAAGTGGAGCTCCACCCAAAAGGGGAAGTTCCGCTTTAAGGACTGCTCCTCAATAAGGATTGGCACCTTTGGGGAGCGGGTACCCGAATTTGACAGGTTCTTGCTCCCACTTCCGTTTCGATCGCCTACGCGATCGGAAACGGAAGGTGTCCTCCCTCTCTCCCTGTAGTCTTTGGGAAATGTGACAGGTCCCAGAAGACTACAGGACCATTCAGGAAGCACAGCACTACTCCCGCATGCGCAGTGGGTACCCGGCTGTGAATCCGGAAGCTGCCACAGCCGGGTGCCCACACTGAAGATGCCGGCCTCCTGGAATACAGGACGGCTTATGAAACAGGTTGTGGGGGAAACACCGCGGGACTGAGGGACAGGTAAGTGGCTGTTTTTTTTTAAAAGTCAGCAGCTACAGTTTTTGTAGCTGCTGACTTATTTTCTGACAGGGTGAGCGGAACTCCGGTTTAATGATTTTTATGCTCTAGAAGGCAGCCCCTCCTGCACCCAAGAATCTGAAAAGCAGATTGTCCAATCATCCGCAAGGTAGACAAAAGTTCCTCCTGTTCCAGAGAGTGGCGGGTGGACAGGGAGCCAGGTTGTCATTGAGGAAGAAGTAAAAAAAAAAAAAAAAAAAAGGTTAAGAGTCAGTCTAAAGAAATGTTGTCCCTCGAAGACCACATACATAGGGGTGTACATATATGTACTGATTGGAGACACATGTGAGAGAGAACATGGAAGGCTTCCAGCACACCCACAAGACTGAAGCTTAGAGTTACAATCAAGATCATAATGTATCGTCAGCCTAATTGTTAGGAAACTGTTGTAGCAGCAGACCTGGCAGGTTCAACGTTCTGTACATTGTTCACCATGGGAGATTCCCCCTAATGCACACTGTGGGTGAGGTTAAGATATAAAAGGAGCCCTTCATCTACTAGCTAGATGCTGCAGGCTCCATCAGCCAGTTCTAAGCCAGCTTCCACAAATGTTTCCAAATATGTACAAGGTGTTCAGTTTTGCCTTATCAAGACACAAATGAGCTGGGAGAACACAATGGTTTGGCAGGAGGGATTCCCCTGTCAACTTGGTCTGTGTTGATGGGGAAATTAAGCAAAATTTCTTTCTTGCAACCCCCAGTTGCAGGAAAGAAATTTGCTCCATGTATGGCCTGCTTCCATAAGTACAACACTACAAAAGACTGTAACCTGTAGGAACCACTCAGATTACACTTTACTAAACAAAGAAATCTCATTGGTGCATACTGTCCAGTGAACCTGTGGGATCAATCATTCCCAACTAGGATTTCTCCAGAGGTTGCTAGGGGGTTCCTTGAGCTGGGCAGATTAACCTTCCATGCTGTGGTGCCCACACTGAGCTTGATTTACTAAAACTGGAGAGTGCAAAATCTGGTGCGGTTGTGCATAGAAACCAAACGGCTTCCAGGTTTTTTTTTTTTCTCTCAAAGCTTAACTGAACAAGCTGGTTAGAAGCCAATTGGCTACCATGTACAGAGGCAGCAGATTTTGCACCCTCAAGTTTTAGGTCCAGACACCAATGATTGTTTTCACTGGTATTCTGACCACCACTATAAAGGGGACATTCTTTTCACTGACCACCAATGTAAGAGGCATTCTTTCCCTCCTGATGATTATTTTAGCAGGTGTTCCCTGGAAACTGAAATTTATTTCAAGGATTCCTCCAGGGTAAAAATGGTTGAAAAACGCTGTGCTAAACTCTTCATCTCTATTCTTGTAGACTGGTGGTCTCCAAACTGTGGCCCTTGCAATGCCTTTATCCAACCCTTGGAGTACTGTTACTCCCACTGATACAAGGCGCTATTCCTCCCACTGACATCAACGATGGGGCGCTATTTCTCCCACTGATATAAATGACCGACACTATTCCTCCCAAAGATACCAGCAATGGAGCACTATTCCTCCCACTGACACCAACAATGAGGCAGCATTCCTTCCATTGACAACAAGAATGGGGCACTACTCCTTCCATTGACACCAACAATGGGGGACTATTTCTGCCTCTGACACCAACAATGGGGTTAATTCCCTGCAATACTATAAATGACTAGGCACTATTCCTCCCACAGATACCAGAAATGGGGCACTGTTTCTTTTCCTGCTGACCACAGGCATTATATAATTTTTTTTACTCCTACCGACCATCAGGCCTGAGACATTTCCTACTTCCATTGACACTGGGGCATTTTCTACTCCCACGGGACAGTCTGGCCCCTTTAAAGACTGAAGGACAATGAACTTGCCCTCTTTTTATAAGGTTTGGAGACTCCTGTTGTAGACAAATGAAAGTGAATAATCACCACATAAAACATCTCAATAAAATTTTTTCTTTTAATCTGTACATAACGTGCAAAACTATGAACACACAAAACACAACTGCATGTGTGTAGAGGAGGAGGAGCAGTTGGAGAGACCTGACAGCCCCCTGAACACTATTCAGAGCTCCAAATCAAGTCAAAGACCAGCCACAGGCTGCTATAGAAACCAAGGAGCTCCAATGTACATTACTAACCACTAAACGAGCCAGAGCTCTGATTCACATATCTGGCTGAATGCTACACGAGCTGGAGCTCACATCATTGATTGCTACATGAGGCTAGGCTCCGATTCACATCATGATTGGCTACCAACTGCTATGTGAGCCAGATATGTAAGCAGAGGTTCCGATTCATATCGCCGACCACTAAATGAGATGGAGCTCCAATTCACATCCAGCTGTTACGTGAGCTGAAGCTCCAATTCATGTCACCAATCGGCTGCTGATTGCTACATGAGTCAAAACTCTGATTCACAAGGCCGACCGACGGCTACTCGAGTCGAAGTTCCGATCTGTGTCCAACCACTACACGAGCTGGAGCTCCGATGCAGTTCATATCACTGCTGGCTACACAAGTCGGAACTTCTATTCACATAACCGACCAACTGCTATACAAGCCGGAACTCTGATTCATATCAGCGACTAGCCGCCAACCTGTACATGATTTGAAGTTCCAACTCATGTCCAACTGCTACATTAGCAGAAGCTCTGATTCACATCAGTGTCTGGCTATCAACCGCTACATGAGCTGAAGTTCCGATTCATGTCACCAGCCAATCACTAACCACTACATGAGTCAGAGCTCTGTATCACATCACTGTATGCTACAAGAGTCACGGCTCTATTTTGCACAGCCATTCAGCCACAGTTCACTACATGAGCCGAAGCTCTGACTCACGTAGCCAATTGACTGCTACTTGACCAGAATTCTGATTCATGTCCAAACGCTACATGAGCCAGATCCTTGATTCACATCACCAATGGCTACATGACTTGAAGCTATGATTCAAATCACTGACTGGCCACCAACCTAACATCACTGACTGGTCACTGACCAACACATAAGTTACTGACCAGCCAGTGATCGCAACATAAGCTGCAGCTCTGATTCACATTGCTGGGCACAGTCTGCCACATGTGCAGTGGAGCTGAGCCACTTGACTAACCAGCAGCTTCAGGGTTCACTGTCCCATTACGTCCCACTCACTGCTCCCCATATTCTCTGCACAGCAGTTGTTACCTCGTTTGATGAGCTGAACACGAAGGGTCTTTGGAGAAAAGGAAAAGGGAGATTCACTCTGAATAACATAGAACAGAATCCAAATTTGACGAGAAAAAAAAACTACAACTTAGTGCAGGGATTGCAGTTCTTCATCTCATCCTCTTGACTTGCTCCTTTATATGGACTAGACTGCAGCCACTGTGAGGACTTGTCCTAAAAACAACCATTACCACGGGGCACCGGTCCAGAAACAACTCCTACTGGTTGAATATCGGATCACTCAGTACCACCAAGGGTGAGAAGGACGGGAAAAAAGTCCTTGTTGGCCTTTCTTTGTCTTAAAAAAAAATAATTAAGAACAGTAGAAAAATGGGGAAGTCTAAAAACAGTTCGTATAAAAGAGCTGTCATAGCTTAAAAGTGGGCCAACAGGAAGGAGTAAAAGTCACAAAGATGATGAAAGGCTAAAAATCGGGGTACAATGAGGACTTCGATGTGAGGACCAGACTGGTGATTACTGGGGTACGATGGGCTCTCAGTGTGAGGAGTGGACCGATGATTCCCATGGTAAACATGGACCCTTGGTGTGGGGACCAGACCAGAGTTTCCTGGGGTACGATGGGCCCTTGTTGTGAGAACCAGATCAGCAATTCCCGAAGAAAAAAACCCAACTCCACAGGAAAATCTTCCTTGGCTGGCTCTCCGGCACTATGGTTTGAGGGTGCCACCTGGGCAAAGTTTCAGGTCAAAGATGACCGCTCTCAGTGGTTATGGCCTGTAGGCTGCATACATGTCCTATGCCTTTCGTCACTCCTTCCCTGAACAGGAGCTTGGTCCCCGGCTTTAAATATTCTGGGTGCTTGATAAAGCGGAAGCGTACAACGGCCTTCTCTCCTGTCCGCAGCTCATCCTAAGGGATGGAAGAGACACACAGCTAAGAAAGATATTGATAGTTAAATCTCTGAATTCTATGTATTCACACAGTTCTGTCTAGAAACCTGGACAATTTCTGATTAAAAGGCTTGTCCATCTTTTGCAAAAATTAAAAGTGGTCCTAAAGCCTTAAAGTGGAACTCCACCCAAAAGGGGAAGCTCCTACTTTAAAGCTTCGTCCCCTGCTCCCCGTTAAGGATTGGCACCTTTGGGGGGTGGTGGTGGTGGTGGGGATTTGTACTTCAATTTGACAGGTACCAGCTCCCACTTCCACTGCATTCGCCTAGGTGATCGGAAGTGGAAGTTGTCCTTGCTCCCTCACCATAGTCTTCTGGGACATGTGACAGGTCCCAGAAAACTATGGGACTATTCACAAATTGCAGCGCTACGCGTGCATGCGCAGTGGGCACCCGGCTGTGAAGCTGCAGCTGCTCACACTGAAGATGCTGGCGACGAGGAGAGAGGATGGCCAGTGAACCTGGCTGCAGTGAGGACACCGCTGGATCGAGGGACACGTGATATTCACAGTTTGGGATTTATGGACTGAAATTTTCACTTTAGGGTCCTTTCATAAGGGCGATCCTATCAGGTTTGCCTGTCAGTTTCTCAGGTGGGTCTGATCAGATGGAAAATGCATGCCTATGGATCAGCGTGTGTTACACCCATTTACACCTGTCTACCTCTGGGTCTGATCAGGCCCACTAAAGAAAAAAAAAAAAATTGAATGACGACTGTGTCCTCTTCTGTTTGGGCAGTCCATATCGGAGGCAGCCAAGTATAAACAGACAGGTGGTGTCCAATTAGTTCCAGCCAACCCTAGAGCAGAGCGGGGACTGTGTCCGCTATACAAAAACTGAGCAGACACGAACCTGTTATCCGCCTCGCTCTGCTACGATCAGCAGGGGATTTGTGAGCGGATCCCCTGCTGATCGGAATGCAAACTGTTTGAAAGGGCTCATATGTTGCATATGGCATTTGAGAATTATCTGTCACAATTGTATCTTCCCCAGTGGCATGGTTTTTCACATAAAAAATATTTTGATTCAAAAGTGGAGCTCCACCCAAAAGGGGAAGTTCCGTTTTAAGGACTGCTCCTCAATAAGGATTGGCACTTTTGGGGAGCGGGTACCCGAATTTGACAGGTTCTTGCTCCCACTTCCGTTTCGATCGCCTACGCGATCGGAAACGGAAGGTGTCCTCCCTCTCTCCCTGTAGTCTTTGGGAAATGTGACAGGTCCCAGAAGACTACAGGACCATTCAGGAAGCACAGCACTACTCCCGCATGCGCAGTGGGTACCCGGCTGTGAATCCAGAAGCTGCCACAGCCGGGTGCCCACACTGAAGATGCCGGCCTCCTGGAATACAGGACGGCTTATGAAACAGGTTGTGGGGGAAACACCGCGGGACTGAGGGACAGGTAAGTGGCTGTTTTTTTTTTAAAAGTCAGCAGCTACAGTTTTTGTAGCTGCTGACTTATTTTTTTTAAATTTGTCTGGAGCTCCGCTTTAAGGTTTTTTACCTTAATGCATTCTATTCAGTAATGTAAAAAGCCTTCTGTGCTGCAGGATCCCCCCAGCTCTCCCCCTTATTCTTACCTGAGCTTAATCCGATCCAGTGAAATGCATGATAGCAGCGGCTCCTGACAGATTGGTACCAGCGGGAGCTATTATTAAATGTGCATTTACTGATTTCTACAATGAAGCCTGCAAAGCATTGCACTTGCAATCAGAGCATCACAGATACAATGCACAGTTCTGGGGGGGGTTTTTTTTTTTTTCGTTTTCCCCCATCCACTTCAAATTGGTGTGATGTCACCAAGCTGATGTGTCCCGCCTCCTCCAGCTTAGACACATGGCTATAATATATCCCTGGAAATGGATTTGGGGGTAATTAACAGCCATGTCTAGAAGCCCCACCTTGCTCACAGACTGCACCCGGCATACACTTTAGGGAGGGAGTTTGGGTAAAGGGGGAGATAGCAAGCATGTGCAGGCACAAGCCCTGTGACTGTGTTGAAGAGGGAGCAGAGATTGCCAGCGCACTCTAGAGGGTCCCTCTGTTGTGGTAGCAGGTAAAACATGTAGAAAATAATTTTTAGAGATTCCAGACCACGATGATACAGATGTGAGGAAGAAGCCACCAAATTCCAACAGCAACAACCATCTCCAGCACAATGCTATTCAGATACGCAGGGGCAGTGTATGTGACCACGCTTCATGGGACACCCTAAATATGGGTGTTACATGAGACACCAGGGGAGATTTACTAAAACTGGAGCACTCACAATCTGGTGCAGCTGTGCATGGTAGTCAGGCAATCAGCTTTTACCTTCAGCTTGTTCAATTAAGCTTTGGCAATAAAACCTGGAAGCCGATTGGTTTCTATGCAGAGCTGCACCAGATTTTGCACCATGCAGTTTTAATAAATGACTCCATGGTCTCAAACATGGACTTTAAAAAAAAGTAAAAACTACTAAGTGAGCTCCTAAGTATCCACATTTCCAGGAACTTTCTGATATTTCTTGTTTCATTGAAGATTATTCTGAACATTTTACTCCACCTTAAACATGGCCTAATCCATTATTTGCACAACGGAGGAATCTGGAGAAGGGACATTGACTGGGCTGTAAACACATTAGGTGGAGTTCCACTGACGGAACCTACATCGATCTGCCAGTGTGGAAATAAAGCAGCTCCTTGTTTTGAGGCTGCACCGCAACTCACAGCTCTGGTCTCAATTAATTCCCAGTAATCGATCAGCAAGGTTCCCTATTATGTAATCACCATGTTTATTAATAAATAAACATCTCTAAGCACTTTCTCAGTGAACTGTTAAAAAGTGGCCTCTGGTCATGAGAGGGAAGTTGCTGTTTTTTATTTATTTTATTTTTAATGGTTACTTTTTTCTTTTTGTAATCGATGACTCTGTCAGTCAACAATTCCACAGATCAAGGAACTACCAATTAAAGGCGAAGGTGTATTTCTAAGGTTGTTTCGCACTTACAATTCTGTCAACAGGGGCAACTGGCCAGTGAAGGGATATCTATAGAAGGCAGACAAATATTCATGTTCTTCCCTTGCATTGCTCCCTCACTGGCTGGATAACTGAGGCGTCACTCCAGCCCAGCAAGTTATCTCAATTTTTTGTCAGCAAGGGAGCGACACCATGGAAGGAGGCAAGAACTCTGCACATTTTATGGATTCTGGAGAGTCGTCACCAGTGACAAGTTGGCAAGTGTGACATGGCCCTAATGGACTAATAATGCCAAAACCAGAGATGAGAAAAGAGGACAAGGTTGAAAGTCTTGGAAAGCTGCTGTTCCGTCTTACCTTTCCATGGATGTGCTCCAGGATGGCTGTCTGTCGGACATTTCCTACGTGCACAGTGACCTGCACTCCGCGCCTGCAGGAGGTAGCATGGAAGAGAAGGACAATTTCGGCTTCGAAGACCCAACAAACCGTGGGCATCATCTCCGGACTGACCAGCACCATACCCTGGGTGGGCAAAAGCAGTATGAGCAAAGATGAAGAAACCCAGGAGAGCTAGAATATTACTTAAAGGACTAACACTAAGCAAAAGGGCTCAGATCCTCCCTCTGTGGATGGTACCCTCTGCACAGGAAGTGACATCAGGAGTAGATAGAACCATCATTTGAGCCAGGGAGAAAAGTATGAGCACACAAGTCAGGAGAGGTAGGATGTTACTTGGAAGGGACACTAAGCAGACACCAAGAACAACAATAAGCTCCTCAATCTGTGTGCAGTACCCCTTCTACACAGGGTGTAAGAGTTTAGGAGTAAGTAGCAGAACCAGACATTTTCTCTGTTTTATCTCCCAAAATAAGAGGGTAAAACAAAAAGCACTCGAGCAAAGCTACGAACAGGCCAAGTCACACCAATGTAAACCTAGATGAAAAGGGTATACAAAGCTAATGTGTTCAGAGGCTAAGCCTTGTTCCCTTCATCAGGACTTGCAGCCAACAACCAGCTGCTGACGAGAGTGTGCTGGTACCATTACAGTTACATAATTAGCAAAGTATCTGCTACCAAGTTCACATACACTATTCCATTGTTAAGGCTCTAAAATGTGTTGGTTTGGTATACACTTATATGATTTTACGCTGGAACAGGGGCGGACTGACCATTCGAGCACTCGGGCACTGCCCGAGGGCCTGGGGTCGGTAGGGGTCCCCATGATATGCCCCTGGTACCTTTCATTGGCTTTATTGGGTGTGGGCGAGGACACAGGGGCCCCATGATCCCCTATTGCCCGGGGGCCCCAGGAAATGTCAGTCCTCCCCCTGCGCTGGAATAAACTAGTTTGTGGACTAAAACATCAGTGTTGAGCTTCAATTCTAGATTTACATATTCCAATCATAGCCCATGGTGACTGTGGAAGTTCACTTTGTGTGTCAACTTGCCAACCTAGTGCCAAGGCACACCCAACACCACCACTAAGCGGTAATTAAGAAAAGCTCTGAACATCCAACACCATCCATCCACTCATGGAGCTCCATTGCAAAACTCAGACACCAAAACTGGCCTCAGCCATGACAGACAAACAATGTGGTCAAATGTTGTCAATGTTTATATGGAAGATCTGGAAAATAGAAGTCTAAAAAAAAAAAAAAAAAAAAACAAAAAACAAAAAAAAAAAAACCCCAAACATACAACACCTTAGTATATTCTAATCATACGCGTGAGACAAGCAGCAACTGATAAGGGTGGAACCTAGCAGAAAAAAAGACCAAAGCGAAGCTCTCTTCCAGAGGGAGTACAGTTCAGAAATGGAGGAGCTTACCCTTCCGTTTGTTTTTTTTAGGGCTTACCTCTGTGCTCTGCTGTGTCTCCAATTAACATTCAGAGAAAAAGGTAAATCCCTCTGTATCAGGGGGCATTCAGGACACTTTTTGCCTTTAATTGCAGCATGAACACTTACCCAATGATATCTTTTATGAGAATGTTTAGTGAACTTGATTTGTGTTATGTCCCATGCTTCTGTAGATGGCAGCCAGGGTGGATAAAAATCAATGATTTAAAAATAAAAAAATTGGATTTTTCTATTTAAATCGGATTTTTTTAAAATAAAATGCTTTTTGAGGAAAATATATTACCATCCAAAGGTTATTCCATCATGAAATAAAGATTAGTTTTTTAATTATGTAGAATAAGGCTGTATATATTTTAATTTTTTTGGTAAATAAATTCCATGAATCCATTCACAATGTCATGCTCTTCCAGAGGTTTTTGTAAGATTATTGGGCAGTTTCTCTGCCTACAAGATATTATCACAGATGATTGGTTTACTTTTGCAGTTCTCAAAACTGAATTTGTCTCAGCGGAGATCACATGCCTCTTCTTCACAGCAAAAATGTTATAACATGAAGAGTTAAGAAAAATACCTTCATCCTAACTTCTACAAACCTATGAATACAGAATCAACCCCTTCAGTGCTAAATTTCAAGGAGTTCAGTGAATAGAATAGAAACAATATTTTTCTGATTGTTCGGAGTGGAATAGATCTGCACAAGAAGAAATTGAAACTAAGTGTGAGGAGGAAGGGGCTGACAGTCTAAGTTTCTTAAAATATATATATTTTGTTTAGACAAATTAGTTAACAAACATGGATGTTTGTTTAAGCAAATAACATATGCTGGAATGTTATTGTTTTAGTTGAATAAATCTATTTAAATTGTTATTATTAAGGTAATGATTATTTTTCTCCTTCCTAAGTACAACAGAAAAGTTGTCCAAATATGAATGATTAACCTATTAAACTGGGGATAAAAAATCTAATATGAAAAGTTGTTATTCTAAAAATCTTCATCTACTTGCATATTAAAGTTATACCAGCAAGAATTAGTCTATGTAGAAAACTAGGATTTAAATCAAGCCTTACTGACTAGTGATTTAAATCGTGATTTAAATCAAATCCACCCTGATGGCAGCATAACCGGACTGTTCTAAAACTCCTGTGTCACTCATTGGACAATAGAGAAACCCCAATGGCTAAGGGTTTTTGTCACATATGACAATTTTTTAAGTCGACAAAACTGTACTGTAAGTGCAGAATGCAGTCTAAACACCCTGCGGTATAAACTCACCTTTCGGAGCAAAGAGCGGTCAAATGCCCCCAGTGCCAGGGTCGCAGCTTGTCCAGCTCGTAACACACGGCATGCGGAGCGGTTCCTCTGGATGCTGCAAACTTTCAAGGGAAGGAAGCTGCCAGAGTCTGTGGGCCCCACCACAAGGCGCTCGCCTTCCTTGCATACCCCACTGCAAAGGATAAAAGAAACAGGACATGATTTCCAGGTGTCAGAGCTGTATGAACAATGACCCAGAAACTACCTCCTGCTACTGTACTATGGTGCCTACAGTGTAGTACTGCCTACTGAATTTGGACCAGCGTCCTACTCTGGCTATCCATGGGGGTCTCTTGGCAAGTTATGGATATTTACACTAGGATCAATTTAGTATGATATTGAGTAATTCACCACTATGTACCTGTATGGTAAGAGAAACCTGGAGCATGTAAGTAACCGAATAACATGGAAAGAACACCCAAACTCAATGCAGAGTGACCCTAACTGTGACCAAACCAAGGCCCCCAGTGCAGTGATGCCAAGTCACTAACGTAGCCACAGTGCTGACCCCAGTATAGTATTTATAAAATGTCCCCCAACTTTTCTCCCCTCAGATGGAGAAGCAGTATTTGTCACAAAAGGAGACCTTTCAGGAAAAAGAAGCCTAACATGATTCTTTTACTGATGATGGTCAACACCAGGACATACCTGTAAAGTGTTCCTCCAACGACTGTCCCCACTTCAGGCACTGTATAGATCTCATCAACCTGCCAAGAAAAGACCAATGCTATTACATCCAGAGGTACTGCTATCCAATCCAAGAGGTCAGTCACACCTACTCAGATGGGTTAACCCTGATCTCTACAATTCTAAAGCCGGACATACTTGGATCAAAATTCGGCCAGTTCAGCAGGGACTGGCCGAATCTCGATCCTTGTATGGACAGAGAGGTTATTATTATTATAATACAGGATTTATATGGCACCAACAGTTTGCTCAGCGCTTTACAATATAACCAGAGACAATACAGCAACAATACAATTCAATAAAAAAGGGATTTGAGGGCCCTGCTCCTTGGAGCTTACAATCTAGGTTTTACAGAAGTCAATCTTTGGATCGAGTTCTGTACAGCCACACTGACGGGATTTTCCCCATTCGATCAGCACCGCCACCTATAACTGGCAACGCTGATCAGTGTATTCTGAAAAAAATTACTCCTCTATGGGCTAAGACCTGGCCATGCAGACAACACTACAAAACACAGCACAAGGATGCAGCCCATGTTACTGTAGAATGGAGGACGTACACGACTCCACAGCACTGCTCCTATATAGTAGGAATGCCAGATTTTTTTTTTTTTTTTTTTGCGCAGAACAGTTTCTTCACCCTTCCCACAATGCTGACAATTCCTTGGAATAGTTTGTTTCTCTTCCCCTCCTACAACTGTGCAACTTCATCACAGTAGTTTGGCCGCCTTCTCCTCCCATAACATTGAGATTTCCCTCCAGTAGTTTGCATCTCTCTCCCTCCCACAAGGAAGAGATTTGCTGCAATAATTTGTGACTCCGCCCCTCCTACAATGGTGAGATTTCCCTGCAGTAGTTTGCGTCTCTGTCCCTCTCACAATGGGGAGATTTCCCTGCAGAAGTTTACGTCTCTGCCCCTCCCACAATGGGAAGATTTCCCTGCAGTAGTTTGTATCTCCTTCCCTCCCACAATGGTGGGATTTCCTGCCTCAGCTTGTGTCCCCTCCCCTTCCACAATTGTGAGATTTCCCTGCAGCAGGGTGACACTATAAAATTTGGTTTTACAATGATGGTATTATTTATGCAAAACTGAAATTTCTTGTAGGGACATACCACCACAAGAGCAACAAGACAGCATAAGCTTCAGCTTGCCATCAACAACTTAGCATGTGCCCCTTAGCCAACAAGACATATCTCCCCACCTTGTCATCTTAAGACACCCCGATACTCTGCTCACCTGGAACTCCGGCAGCTGCTGCATCAGCTCCTCTTGCTCTCGGCAATTGGTGAGAGGGGGCAGAATATTTAGGAAGACCTTAAGGAGGTCCAGAGACTCTCCAGTCACACTGGAAATGGCGAAGATCGGGGTGATGCTGTAATGAGATAACAAGGAGCTGATATGTAGGACAAGTACACAAGGCATAAACGATCTTATATGAAAACCAGGTACACACCGATCTTAAGTCATCCAAAGTACATTTTTTTGTACTTGCTGTAAAAATCTTTTGCTTGTAGTTCATTGAGGGACACAGGAATTCTATTACAGTCAGTCTTACTGCTGCCTATAGGAGGTTGGGACACTGGCGAACGAAACAGCAATAAGCTAGCCCCATATAACTCCTCCTCTACCCAGCATGCCTCAGTTTTGTGAGAAAACCATGCAAAGGGCCAGAGAAAACAGCCAGGTGCTACAAGTGTCCCTCAATGGGCGACAAAAAAGTTTTTACAGTAAGCATAAAAATCTTATTTTCTTCAACGTCTATTAAGGAGCACAGAAATGTGGGATGTCGAAAAACAGATCAACGGAGAGTTACACAACAGCCACTGGAGCATAACATTTAGAGGACTATTACCTGAGAGTGGTATCTGAAGATACCAACTCCTGATCAAGAAAGATAGGCAGAAGCCCTAAGGAAGGGAGACAGAGGATCAACCTGATGTTCCAGAGCAGAATAAGAAAGCCACAGTAAAGGGGGAATGCCCAACTGAAGGATCGTTACCTCCTGCCAATGACCGTCAATTAGCAATCCACTAAAATAACAAATAAAAAAACAACACTACCAAAAATAGGAGGAATCACAGACCAGACCAAGTAAGGCCAACAATTTGCATGGCCGAAACCCTAAAAAAATCCCTTGAGGAAAGTTTAGACAACATAAAAAATCCAAAACAAAAGACCAGCCAGTCAAAATCAGAGAAGGCCTAAGCCTTAGAACTCTTAACTCAAGAAGCAAGCAAAGAAGTGCCATGATGAGAAAAGGGCTGCCTAGGCAAACAGCCAATCTTGTAGCAAAGGTGTGAGTGCTGTCACTACAAAACATCTCAAAAGGATGAAAAAAGCAAAGCCCCCAAGATTGGAGGGAACCCCACCCTCAAGACATACTGAAGGGGAAGTACAATAAGCTAGTGGAATGCATAAAGACAGAGGATAGGAAGGACCAAGGGAGCCTCACAACCCAATCAGTGTGCCACAACAGGCTACCTGAAGGATGAGCAGAAATCCTTTCCACAGCTAGAGTTTATCCAAAGCTGTCAGATAACACTACAACCCTGCCTAGCTAGTTTTGCAACCCATGATTCTAGAAATCAATCACCTAGTCCAGGACCCATGTTTCCTGCACCAAGTAGCAAGGGTCATGCAGCTCAGCCCCCCTACTGGGAGCAATCGCCTGATTTAGAGAAGCAGCAAGAAAAGAACCCACAGGAACTTCCTCAGAAGGCTGCAAAACAACTGCAGATGGAGGACCCAACTCCTGAGCACCCTTCAGATTTATACTATGTTCTACAAGAAGCACCTGCAGCAGGATCCTAGCATGTTCTGCCTGCTGAAAGTTTAGTGGTTTACAGGGCCATTCAGCAGTGAATGCTTCTTTCCAACCAGGAAAAGTGGGGAAGCTCCACATGTCAACAGGCAGATAAGGAGATCCAGAAAGCAAAGCCTTGTCAGCAAAAGAACTGCTGCGGTCAACAGAAACACATGCAGCACCTTCCATGGAAGAAATCCCAAACCAACCCTGAGGAGAGGATTTTGTAGCACTCAAGATATGTACAACAGAGGCCCAGTCAGTACACTGACCTACAGAAGGATTCCCCAATGAGGTGAGATGAGTCTGTTCTGGTGAACCAGAAGAAACTTCCGGTGTTAAGATGCAGAAGACGACTGGAAGGCATTATCCCATCCCTAGCATGGGACAGCAAAACAGTATCTGGGACTCCATCATGATCATTTTCACATCTCTTCTTGAGTCCACACACCCCGACAACAAAAGGGAGGCTGAAGGTGTCCAATAGCCTACAAGAAAAGGAGAGGCCACAGTAGAGGGGCAATTCCAAACATCCATCAGCTCCAAAGGGGAGCGAGTAGGTTATTCCCTCAACAGGTAGGATATAGAGCAAAAAAAAAAATAAAAAATAAAATGAGAAAATCACCAGAAGGGGACTCCTTGCTGAAGACAAAGCTACTGGACAATCAAACACACCAGAATGATGCCCAGGAGAGGCCATCTCCAAGCAAGACCTACAGGTGGTAATGTGCAGCAGAAGTCCTCAGGCTATAGGGGTCTGGAAACGAGCCCCCATTCAGAGAGAGTCTCCTGAGGGTTTTGCAATACCAGGAGAGCACACTAGGAATGGTAAATGGACCACTACTTAGAGTGGGTACTTCTGGGGAATACTAAATGGGCAGAACACTATCAGCAAAAGAACCAGTCGTAGCCAATTCTTGTTGGCCCTATAGGATAAATGCCCCCCCCAAACCACTAGAGGAGTACAGGCTGAGGTTGTCTGTGGTGGCAGGACTGTCCTCTTTTTTTTTTTTTCTCCTTAAGAAAGACATGTTGCGTCCGCCCAGCGGTAATGCAATTAAAAGTCAATACTCACAAATTAAGGCAGTTTTAGATGCGACTTCTTTAGGCAAGCACTGGAAATTGACTGGAGACGCAAGTGATGCTTTAAAAAGCAGAAGCAGCAGTGGGGCGAAAAAGTGGCAGAAAATGTAAACAGTGCCCATCAGTGCAACAGCCTGACTGGCCTTATTTACTAAGTGAATTATCAGAGATAGGGTCAGACCTGGGGCTGTGCTTTCAGGGCTTTGGACCTTAAAAGAGCTTCACAGCCAACACTGTACACTCAGGTCTGGAATGCACAAAACCACAGAGCTTAGTGCCCAAATGTCAAATTTCAGGCTAGCCCCTCTTGTCCTGCAGAGTCTGGGTAATGTCTTTAATGCTAGCGCGAAGAAGAATCCAGGCAGCTGCTATGTAGAGACTGTCTCAAGCAGCAGTATATGCATGAGCCTTGACTGAAGTCAAAAAGAAAATAAACACCAGCAACAGAGCAAAAATCCTACAGTCTCCAAAAAGGTTAAACACTAGCAAACAAGCAGTTACACTTTTTTCAGCAGAGTTCAAGAAAAAGTGTCCAACCCTCTAGGACACTAGCAAGAAAACTGAGGCATGCTGGGTGTAAGGGTTATAACAGGGCTCGCTTACCGCTTTTCGGTTTGTCAGTGTCAAAATCTCCTCAAGGTGGAAGTATATTCCAAGAATAATTGAATTCCTGGGTCTCAATGAGCGAGAAGGAAAAATTTTTTGTATCTATACTATAAGCTGAATCAGCAGTTCAAACCAGCAGTACAGGCCCCTGTACAGAACGGAGGTCAGTACATGCCCCTCTATGGAATGGAAAGAAGGACAGAATGACACTTACAGGCTAAATAAAAGACTACATAAAAAGTATATAAACACAAAAGGGTATGTTTATAAATGTTTTCACTTGGTGAAAGATGTATAAAAAATATTTTAAAAAGACCCTTTATTTCCTAAAAACCTAAAGCAAATAATTAAACTATAGAAAAAATAATATACATTCCCTTTCAACAAACAATATGTGGGCACAAAGTGTGTCAAGTGACAAGGCTATGAAAAAGACAATATGGGGGCACAGAGAGGACCATGTGATAGAACTAATTTACAGACAATATGGGGGACAAGAGGGAGGGTCACGTGACAGGAATACTATACAAACTATATGGGGTGCAGAGAAGAAAATGTGACAGGGCTATTATACAGACAATATGAGGACACAAGAGGTGAAGGTCATGTGACATCGCTATTATACAGACAAGTAGATGGCACAGAGAGGGTCATTTGACAAGGCTATTAAACAGAAATGAATGTATAGGGACATGAGACTGCCCAATAATATCTGGGCCTGGGAGGGGTCCTTACTTGGGTGACTGTGCAAACTGCTGAGCGGCGGTGACAGCATCATCCTCTGTCCGCACCATGAAAGGCACCTTGTTACACCCGGGCTGTTTTAGTGTGCGCTCCAGCTGCCGGAGTGTCCTGTCCACTGTGGGTGGAGCACAGAGGTCCACTTTACTGACCACCAGGAAGAATGGAACCTTGAGAGCCATGGCCAGACCCAGGTGCTCCCGCGTCGTTCCCGCTGCAGAGAGATGGGAGTGATTGGTTACATGATGTGTGCGAGATATCACATGACCAATAATAAAGCTTCTTCAATATTTTATTTCCTGTCTCATACACTCAGAGGTTTTTATACATCCTGACTATTAGGCTCCGTTCACACCAATGCAATTGTTAGTGTTTTTTGCACACACGCACCACAGTCCATTTAACATGGTTTCCTATAGAACATGTTCACATCTAGGCTTTTTTGAGTCGCTGCATTTTTGGAAAGGGTCAGGGACTTTTTTTTTAAAGCAAAAAGCAGCATTTTTGCTACAGTACAGTTCAATGGAGAAGCTGCTGAAATGCATGGTAGTGCGGTTTTTGCCGCGTTTTGCATTTTTATTCTGCCCAGCAACAAAAACAAATTCCACTTTAATAAAAAAAAAAAAAAGAGCTGAATAAAATGCAGTAAAAACGCATCAAAAACATGTGTAAAAAAAAAGCAAAGCAAACTGCAAAAGGCACAAGAGAAAGAATCAAAAGCAAAATGCATATATGTGAACCACGCCAAACCCTCAGTGTGATTCAGCTTCTAATAACAGACACCACAGGGTTCTCATAGGCTCATATGCCTCCAAGGGATTTCAGTGATGAGATCTCCCAGCTAAAGCTTCCATCTCTCTTCTCACACACTTTGGAATGTTCTCACTTCCTCTGTTACATTCGCCATAATACAAAGTAGAAATCTAAAAGGTGTGGTGGAAACCCCTTATAATTGGCACTGAGGGTGGAGGTCATTCATTCCAAACTGGTCAAACTATGTCTTTATGGAGATGGCTTTGTGCACAGGGTAACAGTCATGCAGGAACAGAAAAGGAAAATGGCCTTCTAAAACAGAAAAGAAGCTTCCTCAAACTGTTAGCACAAGGCTGGAAGCGCACAATTTCCTAAAATGTCTTTGTATGCTCTAGGATTAGAAGTACCCAGGGATGTAGAATTTATATCACCTGACGCCCGGGACATGTAGTTCTGGGCATCGGGCAGGTAATTTTCTTTTCATCCTTTATCCCTGCTGCGGACAAGAAGCAGGGCTCACCTGTCAGGTAGGTGGAAGCATTCCGGTGGCGGTGATGCCCCCGATTGCTTCCACACAATGCCAGCCTTCGCTTCCCACCCCATGTGATCTGCCCACTATCTCCCGGGCTCCGCTTGCCCATCTGCGGGCCCGGGATCAGCTCACCGCCATTGGCTAGAGGGGAGGGAGGAGACAGACACATCCGCTCCCCTCTCCTTCTTGTCCTGACCCAGAAGTGACGTTATGATGTTACTTCCGGGTCCTCATTCAAAGATTTCCCATCAAGGCCAGGAAAGTATGCAATGCAGTATGCAAGTATGCAAAACAAACATTACCCACTAGCCCTCCTGAGGATTTAGCCCCCTTCCTGACCAGGCCATTTTTTGCCTTAATTTAACTGACAACTGCGCGGTCATGCAATGCTGCACCAAAATTAAATTTACAGCCTTTTTTTTTTACCACAAATTGAGTTTTCTTTCGGTGGTATTTGATTGCCTGTACGTTTTTAATTTTTTTGCGCTATTAAAAAAAGACTGACAATTTTGAGAAAAAAAAAACAATATTTTTGAATTTTGCTATTAAACATGTCCAACAAAAAAAATTTAAAAATCAAATTTCATCATAAATTTAGGCCAGCGTTTATTCTGCTCCGTGTATTTGCTAAAAAAAATCCCAATACGTGTAAATTAATTGGTTTATGTGAAAGTTATAGTGTTTAACCATTTGCCGCCCGTCCTATAGCCGTTTGGTGGCGGCAAAAAACGCTTCACCTTTCCGGGTGCACGCCATTTGGCGTGCTCCCGCACATGCGCAGTTCGCACGGCTGCAGAGCCGCGCAGCGGCGCGATCTGTCACTGGCCGCGTACCTCGGACACGGCCGGTGACAGATCTGAGTACCGGCCCCCGTTGCCAGTGCCATGTGACCTGCTGTGACCAATCACAGCAGGTCACATGACAGTTGTATACAATGGATGGCTTCATTCATGCCATCCATTGTATACTAGTGCCTAGCTGTAAATGGTCACAGCAGGTCACATGCACATGTCATGTGATTAGCTGTGGCCAAATCACAGCTAAGCACAAAAAAAAAAAAAAAAAACCTGAATGAATCGATTCATTCTGGTAAATGCTTGCTTATAGCAAAGAAATTCTTTGCTATAAGCAAATTGTGTAAAAAAAAAAAAAAAAAAAAAAAATACTGATCACTTCCCCAAAGTAGTACAATGTTACTATGGTAACATTGTACTACTTTGGTCATAGTAAAATATGAAATAAAAATCTTAAAAAAAAAAAAAAAATGTAATAACAAATGAAAAATAAAAAAAATAAAAAGAAATATATATATTTTTTTTTTTCCATACTGTCACCAGTCAGTGTCCCTGTTCACCGCCATGCCAGTTATATGATGACGCTGTACTGCACTGGTGACAGTATGTAAAAAAAAAATAGTGAAAATAATTTTTTTAATTTTTTCATTTTCCGAAAAATGACAAAAAAAAAATACAACTTCAAAAAACGCGCCATTCCTCTTATGAAGTACGACGGACTGTCTACTCTGCAAAAAGGGGTCATTTGGGGATATCTGTACTGTTCTGACATTTGGGGATATCTGTACTGTCCTGACATTTGGGGGGTATCTGTACTGTCCTGACATTTGGGGGGTATCTGTACTGTCCTGACATTAGGGGGGTATCTGTACCGTCCTGACATTTGGGGGATATCTGTACCGTCCTGACATTTGGGGGATATCTGTACCGTCCTGACATTTGGGGGATATCTGTTCCGTCCTGACATTTGGGGGATATCTGTACTGTTCTGACATTCTTGGACCTCAAGAAATTAGATTGGCTGTCAGTAGTTCAGGATTGATCAATTTTCAGATCTATACCATAGTTTGTGAACTCTATAACTTTCCTACAGACTAAATAATACATCCTAATTTGGGTTATTTTCACCAAAGACATGTAGCAGAATACATCTCGCCCTAAATTTATGAAGAACAATTATTTATTTGTAAACTTTTATAACAGAAACAAAGAAAAACGTGTTTTTTTTTTTTCAAAATTTTTCTGTCTTTTTTTGTTAATTTAGCAAAAAATAAAAATCCCAGCAGTGATTAAATACCACCAAAAGAAAGCTCTAGTTGTGTGAAGAAAATGATAAAATTTTAGTTTGGGTACAATGTTGTATGACCGCGCAATTGTCATTCAAAGTGTGAGAGCGCTGAAACGTGAAAAATGGCCTGGGCAGGAAGGGGGAAAATTGCCCGGTATTGAAATGGTTAAAAACGGCAGTACAGATAATGGAATTTTTTTTCCAACTAACAATGGCGGCGATAGCGACAAATAGCAGGACTGCGGCGGACATTCTGACACTGGGGGGTGAACTGACTTGGTGTCACTGACATCCCCAGTGACACCAATACAGTGATCAGTGCTTAAAAAAGAAAAGAAAAAGTTACACCCAAGCACATACCCTCTCCTCCCCCTCACAAAGAAAAAGAGAATTGAGCCCCCCCCCCCCCGCATATACGCACGTACAAACGTAAACGCACACTCTGGAGCACCTACACATGAAACCGTTGATTGCGATACATGTTACATATCGCTGCACACACCAGGATGAGAGCAATACTTCTAGCACCAGACCTCCTACATACACTATACTGATGACCTATTAGGGACTTTAAGTGTCACCTTTAGAAAATATAGGGTACTGAAGTTCTTCGCAATTTCAAAGGTGCAAGCAAATTTAAGGTATCACAAGTTGGATATCTATTTACTCAGTGCAACCTCATCTTTTATATTTTACAAAAAAATTTTTATTGCTTTTTTCTGTGCCCTAAAATTAACTTACTTGTATTTTTACTGAAATTTTGTAGTAATATGTGACATGAAAAATTGGAACTACCACTATTTTATTCTCTAGGGTCTCTGCTTTCAGAAAATATATAATGTTTGGGGGTTTTGTGTAATCTTCAGGCCCAAAACGATTCTTTAAACTTGGGCAAAAAACGTAAAAATGGCTCTGGCAGCAAAAGGGATAAATGATAAGCCCAACACTCCCGTTCCTGACGAGCACCCAATCGGTGCTCACTACACTGCAAGGTCTCTCTCCTCCCTGCTTGTCCCCGGGTGCAGTGCTGGAGACAGGCAGGGAGGGGAGGAGGAGATAAACAGCGCAATGTTAAAATTATTACTCCTTTATGTTGCCATAAAGTTCCTTTTATTTTTAAAAGCCCCCGACATTCCTAAAATCACCTCAGATTTAAATACGGTTTTGGTTCAAATTTATTTTTTTTATCTGGACAAGCAGATTGTCATGAGGGACAAGTAGATTGTGACACTGATTTCATCCCTGGACAAGTAGTTTTTTCAAAAATGTCCACATCCCTGAGTACCCTTCTCTGAAAACACACAAATTCATTTGCTGGGGGATTAGGCAGGGTACATTATAACAAGGTCTGCTCAGCAGGGACCGATACGGTGTCCAAGAACACACTCACCGATCCCAGTGTTGGCGCTCACTACCAGCATGGCAAAGTCTGGGCAGTAGCTGGTCAGGCCAAAGATGGTGGTCTTCAAGTATTTGTGGTGTCCGGCCAGATCAATGAATGTGATCATCTTGGAGGCACTTTCACAGATCTGCTCTGCAGTACGAGACTCGCTGTAATTTACCACCTGATAACAGGAGGCAGAAGACATGTTGGTTACATAAATGCACCAACCTCCATGGAGAACCATGACTTTCTACTGTATCACCAGAACCAGAAAAACCTGCCGCCCTCCTCAGTACCCATTCCTCTTCACCCCCACCAGCAGCTTTCATTCCTCAACTCTCACCAACGTTCCTTTTTATCCATTCCTCATCACCCCATTCCCTCTCGTCAACAGCACCAATTCCTCTTCACCCCCCCCAACATACACACCAGCACCCCCCACCCTACTAACCAACTTTTCCCATTTCCCTCTCGCTTCTCCTCCCTCGTCGGCTTCTCTCCCATTCCACCCTCACCTCTTCCATTTCCCCTCAACACCACCCCCCAAGCAACTCTCCCATTCCCCTTTACTTCCTCCCACAGCATCACTCCCGCTCCCCCAGCTACCTTACACAACTTTACCCCCAGCATCCTTCCTGCTGCCTTCCTACCTCTCCCTTGCTATTGAATCCAAGGATCTCAAAGCTAATACTGGATGTGCGACCAGACTGTATCTCATGAAGATGACGAAAGAGATTGAGCCTGGCCCGGCCCCGTCCATTGTCCAGCTCCCCCTGTGTAAGGACCCCCAGTAGAGTAGACTTCCCAGAGTCCACATTTCCCAGGACAGCGACTCGCAGGTCCAAAAACTGAGGAAACAAAGTATATTATCCTGTGTGAGTGGAGATCCGCAAGATACAGAGACACGATGAAGCTCAGAGTCATTGTACTGTGCACATACCTGTTGGTTGTCTGGGACCTTCCGGATCAGAACCTCTGTGATCTTCCTAGGAGAGTCATTGTCATAATCAACTTCACGTTCTCGTAATACTGTGATATCAGCACCAACCCTACAGAGAGAGGCAACATGGATATCACAACACAAACTGTGAAAGACGGGATAGAATACAACTCGGCCCAGGACCGGAAGAGAGCTCAAAACCGTCTCCACCCTCTCCAAAACTATCAGAAAAAAAAAGGTTTTGGTTGGTGACCAACATAAAAGATGAATTCCGGGTATGGTAAGTTTTTACACAATTACGTTGGTCAAGCTTGGAACATGGTAGCTATTATGTATATACCATATCTGGCCTGTTTCTCTAAAAGCTGGAAATCACTGAAGGAGACACTGCTACTCCAATGATTTCCTACCAGCTACCTGGGTCCCATGCCAAGTGGATGGCCTGCTGCATTCTGAGTACAGAAGGTTGGCAGCTCAGCATGGGTACCATTCAGAGAAAACTTTGCATTTTCTGAATGAATGCAAAGCCTTTTCTGATTTGATGAGGTGGAGAGGAGGAACAGTGAAGTCTCACTCACCACCTCATCCACAAAAACTTTGCATTCATTCAGAAAATGCAAAGCATTCTTTTAATGGCACCCTTGCTGAGAAATCTACCTCACCAGGCCAGCTGTACAATACAGGACCTGGAAGCAAGTGGAGATCACTGAAAGGGTAACTAAACCCACAACAGTAAAATCAGCCGGTATATGCAGTAAAGCATGCTTGTTATACTCTCTATGGAACCTAAGGGGTTAATCTTCTGCATTGTGTAAAAAGGCTCCAAAAGAAAAACAAACGAAACCAGCGCTCCAATCTTCATGCAAGCCAAGGAATTGTCAAATGCCAACCGAAGAGGTGCTGCCCTTCCTTAGCTCTGAGGAAGGGGGTTTAACTCCCGAAACGCGTCAGTTTATTCGCATCATTAGACACAGTTGCATTGTGACTGTTTTTGTGGATCACCTATACTGCCTATTATCACGTTGGTTTGTGAGTATACATCCTTTCTATTTAATAAATTACGTGTTATACCACGGTAATGCATGAGAGTGCGCCCTTGTTTGTTTTTATTCATCAGTGTAAAAAGGCTGTTTGATCCTGTCTTCTCTGCCCCTCCTTTTGTTTAAATGTTCACACTGATAAGGCAGACTGAACCCGCAGCCCTTCTGCACATGCTCAGTTTAGTGTGTATTGCTAGATGTTTTTTTTTTTTTTTTCCCTTGGGAAGAGTGCATGGAATCAGCACAGGGCCAATCAGCGCTGTCCAGACAGAGGGTCAGGGGTTTTGCATCCTGCTAGAGCAGAAAGAAAACTCCTCCTACAACCATTAACCAGTAATCTGCTGGACACTGACAGAAGTCACAAGACTGCTCTAACTGCTGATGGGAAAAGGTATTTAGCAGTTTAGATTTACTAAAATAAATTTCACTTCCATGTTCTGTGGGAGACAAGATATAGTGAATGCAGGGTCCGGGTTTTAGTGGTGGTATCCACTTCAGGGATTTCCAGCTTCTGGGGTATTGGCCAGGTATGGTGTATACAGAGTTACACTGGTCCAAGCTGGACCAATATAACTATGTAAATATATACCATGCCTGTAATTCTTCTTTAAAACCTTTTGCAGTATTGTGCCTTTTCATTAGTCCTTATCGAAATGCAGATTCTTCTCACAGACTACCTCCTCCACATTCTACTTACAGGACTTCCCTTGTGTCACTTCCTTTCTCTAGAACTCCTGTCCACATTCACCATCCCTCCAAATCTAGATTAAGTAGATTATTCATTTCACGTTCACACAAATCAATATGGCAGCATTACAAAAGCACTATATTAGAGTAAACATGTTCCCCTTCCTTGCAATAGGAAACAAGTGCTGCTCCTGACCTCCCTCAGGACTGGAAGCCTAGACTTACATGATCTCGGTCCACCAGAAGCATTGTATTTCACCTCATTAGAGACTGAAGACAGTCTCTAATTTCCACTGGGACAGAACCTGTCTTGCTGTGAAAGAAGAGAAACCTCAAGGTGCAAGCTTTGGGAAGAGCTGCCAAGAGGAAAGCAGAACCATCATATGAATTGAGCAAATACTTATTGTACAGTATATGTGGTGAGTGTGGGATTCTCCTAAGCCATACATAGTTTCCAAAAAACATCACAGCAATCTGCCTCAGTACACCTCCAAACACCCCCAGCCCAGAGGCAAGTAGTGGGCTTGCTCTTGGGAAGGCTTATGCAAATATCAAAGTGACTTGGTGGATGAATATTAGTCCAGAAGACTAGGTGTACCTAGGCAGGCTGTATTTGAATGTAAACTACCCACATGTGATGCTGAGCCTATATGTTTGAAAGAACTGAAAACAATACATGAAAGGAGAGAGCCAGGGATAATCAGGCTTGGGAGCAAAGGGCTGGTAATGCTGGACATCCTCCAGACAGTGCACCATCCCCTCCCCTGGCTGCCTACAGTGTTCACTGGACCATAGAAATGGCAGATAGTTTGCGTACACATTGGCTGTTTCCGAGTGCAAAGCACAATACTGCAAGAGGAAAGGGTCCTACTGAGATCCATTGCATTTGACAGAACTGACGGGTGTCTGCACCTTCCCCAATACTGTTATTATAGCTCTTACACATCCTTATACTGTCCAGTGCTGCAGAACATGTTCACACAATATAGATCAAGAATATTCATATCAAATATAGCAGAGAGGTCAGTACTTCTCAGCCATGCGATGCAAGGTGTGAAGTGAGGCCTTCATTTCCTCCTCGGACAGTCCCACCAGCAGCCCGTTGTCCTCAACGCCAATCTGGTATATACCGCCTCCCCACGACCTTCCTGCAGCCGCCATTTCATCTGGGTCACCAGATGCTCAAAACGATACTGGGATGGGTTGACCAGCTTTAGCTAGGTGATAAGAAGGAAGTCACATGATATTGGCAGCCTAGGCACAGGGAAAGGTCCAGAGGTGACACACAGGGCAGAGGGTCAGGAAGGAGGAGTCACATGAGATGGGCAGCCTAGGCACGAGAGGAAGTCCAGAGGTGACAGAGAGCCAAGCAAGTCAGGAAGGATTAGTCACATAAGTTGGTAAGCCAAAGCACAGAAGAAAGTTCAGAGGTGACAGATAGCCAACGCGGTAAGAAAATAGGAGTCACATGATATGGGCAGCCTAAGCACAGAAGAAAGTCCAAAGCTGACAGTCAGCAAGGGAGGTTAGGAAGAAGGAATCACATGATTCATGTAGCCGAGGCACAAGGGAAGGTCCAGAGGTGACAGACAGCGAGGGTGGTTAGGAAGGAGGAATCACATTATTATTTTAGAATTATACAGGATTTATATAGCTTTAAAAAGCCCTCCCTGGACCCAAATGACCCGAACAACCTCAGATCCATCTCCCTGCTCCCATTCACATCCAAACTCCTCGAGCGCTTAGTCTACACTCGCCTAAGCTCTCACCTCAACGACAACCACCTCCTCGATCCCCTACAGTCCGGCTTCCGTCCCCTACACTCCACCGAAACTGCCTTACTCAAACTCTCCAACGACCTGCTAAACGCCAAAGCGAATGGCCACTACTCAGTGCTCCTACTCCTTGACCTCTCCGCGACCACCCCTCCTCCTCAAAAAACTACACACCCTCAGCCTCAGAGATTCCGCTCTCTCCTGGCTCTCGTCCTACCTATCACAACGTTCCTTCAGCATTACCTATAACGCTACCACCTCCCCCTCACTGTTGGGGTTCCTCAAGGTTCCGTCCTTGGGCCCCTTCTCTTCTCCATCTACACCTCCTCCCTTGGCCAACTCATACACTCTCACGGCTTCAACTACCACCTCTATGCCGACGACACACAAATCTCTCGCCTCCCCCCCCACCTCACCCCCTCGGTCTCCGCCCGAATCACACACCTACTGAGCGACATATCAGACTGGATGTCGCTCCACTTCCTTAAACTGAACCTCTCCAAAACCGAGCTCCTAGTCTTCCCCCCAGCCTGCACACCACCCCCCAACTGACTTCTCCATCACATCCAACAATGCCACCATCAAACCCGCCCCGCAGGCCAGAGTACTTGGTGTCATTCTGGACTCCAACCTATCCTTCCAGCCCCAAGTCCAATCACTAACAAACTCGTGCAGACTCCGCCTCCGCAACATCGCCAAAATCCGCACGTTCCTAACCCCAGAAACCACTAAACAGCTCATCCACTCCCTCATCATATCTCATCCACTCCCTCATCATATCACGACTCGACTACTGCAACTCCCTCCTCACTGGCCTGCCTTGCCACAGGCTATCCCCGCTTCAGTCGATCCTGAATACGGCTGCCAGACTCATTCACCTTTCCAACCGCTCCATCTCCGCCACCCCCCTCTGCCAATCCCTCCACTGGCTTCCGATTGCACAATGGATCAAATTCAAAATCCTAACACTGACGTACAAAGCCGTCCACCATACTGCCCCGAACTACATCACTGACCTAATATCCAAGTACTGCCCAACACACACACTCCGCTCCTCACAAGACCTCCTTCTCTCTAGTTCCCTGGTCTCCTCCTCCCATGCCCGCCTCCAGGATTTCTCCAGGGTGTCACCCATCCTCTGGAACTCCCTGCCCCAACCCATCAGACTATCACCTACTCTCCTCTCCTTTAGGCGCGCCCTGAAAACCCACCTCTGCAGGAAAGCCTACCCCACCCCCTGCTAACTTGCCAACCCCCTCCTCCACTCTTCCTACCACTCCATCCCCCACAGCTATCTCCTCCTGTGCCACCATCCCCTCCCTCCTAGATTGTAAGCTCGAAAGAGCAGGGCCCTTGATCCCCTCACGTTTTGCATTGTATTGGTATTGTTCTGTCACATGTTCTGTCCACCTTTGTAATGTACAGCGCTGAGCGAACTGTTGGCGCTTTATAAATACTGTATAATAATAATATAGCGTCAACAGTTTGCACAGCGCTTTACGATGTATCACATGATTCAGATAGCCTAGGCACATGGGAAGGGCCAGAGGTGACAGACAGAAAGGGAAGTTAGGGAGGAGTCGTCACATGATTCAGGTAGTCTAGGAACAAGGGAAGGTCCAGAGGTGACAGACAGTGAGGGTGGTTAGGATTGAGGAGTCACATGATATGGACAGCCTAGGCATAAAAGAAGGTCAAGAGGTGACACAAAGAGGAAGTCAAGTCAGGAAGCAGGAGATGCACAATAGGGGCAGCCTAGGCACAGGGGAAGGTCCAGAGGTGACAGAGAGAGGGAGGTCATGAAGGATGAGTCACATATGGGTAGCCTATGCATGCAGAAAATCCTGAGGTGAGACAATGAGGTGGTAAGGAAGCAGGAGTCACATGAAATGGGTATCCTAGGCACAGGGGAAGGTCCAGAGGTGACAGACAGTGAGGGAGGGAGGTTAGGAAGGAGGAGTACAGATACCAACCTTATACTCAATGTTCCCTTCCTCTGCCTGAAACAAAACAGAACACTCAGTCAGACCCCTGAACACCAATCTCACAACATGCAGCAACACAAAGGTTAATCTCACAACAAATGACAAGTCACTTCAGGGATTTCCTGTGTGGTAATTAACGAGCCTGAATTACAGTCATTACAATTATCATTCTTGTTTCTGGTGAGTCATGCAGGGGTTAATCTTGGACACCATAAACAGGCAGAGCCAGAGATGACAGCGTGACCATCAATATGTCAGGAAGGGGTTAACAGGTGGGAACCAAGGCTCCACCTCTGGGTGTGTCACAAAATACTGCAGAAGGGGCAAATACTGTCTGAGGGTCGGGGAACATCCTAGTAGAGCCAATGTCACCCCTAAATGAACACATGGGGCTACTGACATACAGTGTTAACTAAGGGGACATCAATGACAGGAAGTCAGCCAGGGGTTAATGATGGAGACATCCGTGTCAGGCAGGGGTTAATGATGGAGGTGTCAGGCAGGGGTTAATGATGGAGGCATCCGTGTCAGGCAGGGGTTAATGATGGAGGCATCAGTGTCAGGCAGGGGTTAATGATGGGGATACAGGGTAGACAGGCAGGGGTTAATGCTGGGGATACAGGGTAGACAGGCAGGGGTTAATGCTGGGGATACAGGGTAGACAGGCAGGGGTTAATGCTGGGGATACAGGGTAGACAGGCAGGGGTTAATGATGGAGACATCCGTGTCAGGCAGGGGTTAATGATGGAGGCATCAGTGTCAGGCAGGGGTTAATGATGGAGGCATCCGTGTCAGGCAGGGGTTAATGATGGAGGCATCCGTGTCAGGCAGGGGTTAATGATGGGGATACAGGGTAGACAGGCAGGGGTTAATGCTGGGGATACAGGGTAGACAGGCAGGGGTTAATAGCACAGTTGGGATATCAGTGTGGGGCAGATGAGGGAGGGGGGGAGGGGACACGTCACCAGGTTCCCTGTCTGACACTTAACTCTCTGACTGCCGACTCCATCCTGTGTACAGACAGTGGAAGGAGATTGTCAGCTCCTCTGCCCGCTGATATGGCCAGCAATGCCCAGCAAGTCAGTGTTTACACACAGCGATCTATATATAGCACCCACACAGACCTGGCCCCATCTATAAATATTCTGTACAGCAGACAAGTATGGACACGTCTCCCGAGTACACAACCATCAGCTGATCTCCCAGTTATTTGAGTCACAGCAAACAGCACAAACACTGGAACAGAGCCAACACAACACTGTCACCGCTCACTGATCACAGAGCCAACACAACACTGTCACCGCTCACTGATCACAGAGCCAACACAACACTGTCACCGCTCACTGATCACAGAGCCAACACAACACTGTCACCGCTCACTGATCACAGAGCCAACACAACACTGTCACCGCTCACTGATCACAGAGCCAACACAACACTGTCACCGCTCACTGATCACAGAGCCAACACAACACTGTCACCGCTCACTGATCACAGAGCCAACACAACACTGTCACCGCTCACTGATCACAGAGCCAACACAACACTGTCACCGCTCACTGATCACAGAGCCAACACAACACTGTCACCGCTCACTGATCACAGAGCCAACACAACACTGTCACCGCTCACTGATCACAGAGCCAACACAACACTGTCACCGCTCACTGATCACAGAGCCAACACAACACTGTCTGTCACCGCTCACCGCTCACAGAGCCAACACAACACTGTCACCGCTCACTGATCACAGAGCCACAGAGCCAACACAACACTGTCACCGCTCACTGATCACAGAGCCAACACAACACTGTCACCGCTCACTGATCACAGAGCCAACGCAACACTGTCACCGCTCACTGATCACACAGCCAACGCAACACTGTCACCGCTCACTGATCACAGAGCCAACGCAACACTGTCACCGCTCATTGATCACAGAGCCAACACAACACTGTCACCGCTCACTGATCACACAGCCAACGCAACACTGTCACCGCTCACTGATCACAGAGCCAACGCAACACTGTCACCGCTCATTGATCACAGAGCCAACACAACACTGTCACCGCTCACTGATCACAGAGCCAACACAACACTGTCACCGCTCACTGATCACACAGCCAACGCAACACTGTCACCGCTCACTGATCACAGAGCCAACGCAACACTGTCACCTCTCACTGATCACACAGCCAACGCAACACTGTCACCGCTCACTGATCACACACACAGCCAACGCAACACTGTCACCGCTCACTGATCACACAGCCAACGCAACACTGTCACCGCTCACTGATCACACAGCACACACAACACTGTCAGCGCTCACTGATCACACAGCCAACGCAAACACTGTCACCTCTCACTGATCACACAGCCAACGAAACACTGTCACCGCTCACTGATCACACAGCACACACAACACTGTCAGTGCTCACTGATCACACAGCCAACGAAACACTGTCACCGCTCACAGATCACAGAGCCAACGAAACACTGTCACCTCTCACTGATCACACAGCCAACGAAACACTGTCACCTCTCACTGATCACACAGCCAACGAAACACTGTCACCGCTCACTGATCACACAGCCAACGCAACACTGTCACCGCTCACTGATCACACAGCCAACGCAACACAGTCACCTCTCACTGATCACACAGCCAACGCAACACTGTCACCTCTTACTGATCACACAGCCAACGAAACACTGTCACCGCTCACTGATCACACAGCACACACAACACTGTCACCGCTCACTGATCACACAGCACACACAACACTGTCACCGGTCACAAATCACAGAGCCAACACAACACTGTCACCGCTCACTGATCACAGAGCCAACACAACACTGTCACCTCTCACTGATCACACAGCCAACACAACACTGTCAGCGCTCACTGATCACACACAACACTGTCAGCGCTCACTGATCACACAGCCAACAAAACACTGTCAGCGCTCACTGATCACACAGCCAACGAAACACTGTCAGCGCTCACTGATCACACAGCCAACGTAACACTGTCACCACTCACTGATCACACAGCCAACGAAACACTGTCACCACTCACTGATCACACAGCACACACAACACTGTCACCTCTCACTGATCACAGAGCCAACACTACACCACAGAACTTGTGTGTTTAAGGAGGGGGGGGGGGTATTACTAACTCAAAAGAATAGTAGGGAGTATTAATGTCTCAAATAACAGGTTATAGGGGTATTATTACCGAGTAAGGGGGGCATTATTACCCCACATATCTAGTGTGTGTGTGGGGGGGGGGGGTATTATTACCTCAGAAGACAGGTTAAAAGGTATTCTTATTACCTCAGGGGACAAGAACTGGGGGTATTATTACCTCAGGAGACAGGTACTGGGGGTATTATTACCTCGGGGGACAGGTACTGGGGGTATTATTACCTCAGGAGACAGGTACTGGGGGTATTATTACCTCGGGGGACAGGAACTGAGGGTATTATTACCTCAGGGGACAGGTACTGGGGGTATTATTACCTCGGGGGACAGGAACTGAGGGTATTATTACCTCGGGGGACAGGAACTGGGGGTATTATTACCTTGGGGGACAGGAACTGGGGGTATTATTACCTCGGGGGACAGGTACTGGGGGCATTATTACCTGAAGGGGGGGGGGCTTTGTTACCTCAGGGGACGGGTATTGGGGGCATTTACCTCAGAGGACGGGTATGGGGGGCATTATTACCTCAGAGGACGGGTATGGGGGGCATTACTACCTCAGAGGACGGGTATGGGGGGCATTACTACCTCAGAGGACGGGTTCGGGGGGCATTATTACCTCAGGGGACGGGTATGGGGGGCATTACTACCTCAGGGGACGGGTATGGGGGGCATTACTACCTCAGGGGACGGGTATGGGGGCATTATTACCTCAGGGGACAGGTACTGGGGGCATTACTACTTCAGAGGATGGGTATGGGGGGCATTATTACCTCAAAGGGCAGGTATGGGGGCGTTATTACCTTAGAGGACAGGTATTGGGGGGCGTTATTACCTCAGGGGACGGGTATGGGGGGCGTTATTACCTCAGGGGACGGGTATGGGGGGCGTTATTACCTCAGGGGACGGGTATGGGGGGCGTTATTACCTCAGAGGACGGGTATGGGGGGCGTTATTACCTCAGAGGACGGGTATGGGGGGCGTTATTACCTCAGGGGACGGGTATTGGGGGCATTATTACCTCAGAGGACGGGTATTGGGGACATTATTACCTCAGGGGACGGGTATGGGGGGCATTATTACCTCAGAGGACAGGTATGGGGGGCATTATTACCTCAGAGGACAGGTATTGGGGGCATTATTACCTCAGAGGACAGGTATTGGGGGCATTATTACCTCAGGGGACAGGTATTGGGGACATTATTACCTCAGAGGACGGGTATTGGGGACATTATTACCTCAGGGGACGGGTATTGGGGACATTATTACCTCAGAGGACGGGTATGGGGGGCATTATTACCTCAGAGGACGGGTATTGGGGGGCATTATTACCTCAGAGGACGGGTATTGGCGTTATTATTATTACCTCAGAGGACAGGTATTGGGGGGCATTATTACCTCAGAGGACGGGTATTGGGGGCATTATTACCTCAGAGGACGGGTATTGGGGGCATTTTTACCTCAGAGGACGGGTATTGGCGTTATTATTACCTCGGGGGACAGGAACTCTGAGGGTATTATTACCTCGGGGGACAGGAACTGGGGGTATTATTACCTTGGGGGACAGGAACTGGGGGTATTATTACCTCGGGGGACAGGTACTGGGGGCATTATTACCTGAAGGGACGGGGGGGCTTTGTTACCTCAGGGGACGGGTATTGGGGGCATTATTACCTCAGAGGACGGGTATGGGGGGCATTATTACCTCAGAGGACGGGTATGGGGGGCATTACTACCTCAGAGGACGGGTATGGGGGGCATTACTACCTCAGAGGACGGGTTCGGGGGGCATTATTACCTCAGGGGACGGGTATGGGGGGCATTACTACCTCAGGGGACGGGTATGGGGGGCATTACTACCTCAGGGACGGGTATGGGGGGCATTATTACCTCAGGGGACAGGTACTGGGGGCATTACTACTTCAGAGGATGGGTATGGGGGGCATTATTACCTCAAAGGGCAGGTATGGGGGCGTTATTACCTTAGAGGACAGGTATTGGGGGGCGTTATTACCTCAGGGGACGGGTATGGGGGGCGTTATTACCTCAGGGGACGGGTATGGGGGGCGTTATTACCTCAGGGGACGGGTATGGGGGGCGTTATTACCTCAGAGGACGGGTATGGGGGGCGTTATTACCTCAGAGGACGGGTATGGGGGGCGTTATTACCTCAGGGGACGGGTATTGGGGGCATTATTACCTCAGAGGACGGGTATTGGGGACATTATTACCTCAGGGGACGGGTATGGGGGGCATTATTACCTCAGAGGACAGGTATGGGGGGCATTATTACCTCAGAGGACAGGTATTGGGGGCATTATTACCTCAGAGGACAGGTATTGGGGGCATTATTACCTCAGGGGACAGGTATTGGGGACATTATTACCTCAGAGGACGGGTATTGGGGACATTATTACCTCAGGGGACGGGTATTGGGGACATTATTACCTCAGAGGACGGGTATGGGGGGCATTATTACCTCAGAGGACGGGTATTGGGGCATTATTACCTCAGAGGACGGGTATTGGCGTTATTATTACCTCAGAGGACAGGTATTGGGGGCATTATTACCTCAGAGGACGGGTATTGGGGGCATTATTACCTCAGAGGACGGGTATTGGGGGCATTTTTACCTCAGAGGACGGGTATTGGCGTTATTATTACCTCAGAGGACAGGTATTGGGGGCATTATTACCTCAGAGGACGGGTATGGGGGGCATTATTACCTCAGAGGACAGGTATTGGCGTTATTATTACCTCAGGGGGCAGCTGTTACCTCAGGGAACAGGTATTGGCGATATTATTACCTCAGGTGGCAGGTAGGGGGGGTTGTTGTGGCTCTTGCTGCCCCCGGCTCCTCCCGCTCGGTTCCTGCCCTTGGCGGGTTTCTTGCTCCGGGCTCCGCTCTTCCCTCTCCCCCCACCGCCTCCGAACAACTCCAACAGCCGCGGCTCCATCCTCTCCTCTGCTTCCCGCTACCCACCGGCCGGGGATACCGAGCAGGCCCGGTCACACCCCTCCGCCAATCACCGCTCTCCGCTCCCAGAAAGATCCCGCCCATTGACCAGTTTTCGCTCTCAGCACCCCGCCCACCAACAACACACCGTTGGCTTGTTTGGATTTTCTGATAACCACGCCCACCCCAGTACTGCTCCGCCTAACCGGCCGGTGCTTCCGCGGAGTCTAACAACCACGCCCACCATAACTGAGGGGACATGGGCCACGCCTACATGCCATTGCATCAGGCACGCGGGGTATGATGGGAGGAGACTGGACGTGTGTAGCACAAAGTACGGCCCCCCAGCAAGCCAAGATCCCTCCCCTCATCCTCTTTATGTGTCACATTTGTTACTGCTCCCCATAGCCCAGTGTGCGCTTAGAATGACTTCCATCTTCTCTGTGTCAAATCCATTACTGTCCCCCCTAACCCAGTGTGCACCCAGAATCCCTTCCCCCATCCTTTTGTGTCACATGTATTGCTGCCCCCTCCCAATAACTCTGTGTTCACCTAGAATGATTTCCCCCATCCTCCCTTTGTGTCACATTTATCACTGTCCCCTCCCAATAACCCAGTGTGCACCCAGAATCCCTTCCCCCATCCTCGCTTTGTGTCACATTTATCACTGCCCCCTCCCAATAACCCAGTGTGCACCCAAAATCCCTTCCCCCATCCTCCCTTTGTGTCACATTTATCACTGCCCCCTCCCAATAACCCAGTGTGCACCCAGAATCCCTTCCCCCATCCTCCCTTTGTGTCACATTTATCACTGCCCCCTCCCAATAACCCAGTGTGCACCCAGAATCCCTTCCCCCATCCTCCCTTTGTGTCACATTTATCACTGCCCCCTCCCAATAACCCAGTGTGCATCCAGAATGATTTCCCGCATCCTCCCTTGTGTCATATTTATTACTGTCCCCCAAGTAACCCAGTCCTCTACCACCATAACCCAGTGTGCTCACATAATGACTTCCCTATCTTTCCTGTGTGTCACATCTATTACTGCCCCCCCCCCCCCCCCAGTAACCTAGACGGTATCCAGAATGACCTCTGTGTATTTAGAATGACTTTCTTCCTCCTCTCTGTATGTCACATCCATTACTGTGTCCCCCCACCCAATAACCCAGTGTGCACCTAGAATGACTTCCTAGTTCCCCCTGTGTGTCACATCCATTACTGTTCCCCCATAATCCAGTGTGCATTCAGAATGACTTTCCTCCTCCTCTCTGTATGTTACATCCATTATTGTGTTCCCCCACCCCATACCCCGGTGTGCACCCAGAATGACTTCCTAATTCCCCCTGTGTGTCACATCCATTACTGTACCCCCATAATCCAGTGTGCATTCAGAATGACTTTCCTCCTCTCTGTATGCCACATCCATTACTGTCCCCCCCACCCAATAACCCAGTGTGCACCCAGAATGACTTCCTAGTTCCCCCTGTGTGTCACATCTATTACTGTTCCCCCATAATCCAGTGTGCATTCAGAATTACTTTCCTCCTCCTCTCTGTATGTCACATCCATTACCGTGTCCCCCCACCCCATACCCCAGTGTGCACCCAGAATGACTTCCTAGTTCCCCCTGTGTGTCACATCGATTACTGTACCCCCATAATCCAGTGTGCATTCAGAATGACTTTCCTCCTCCTCTCTGTATGCCACATCCATTACTGTCCCCCCCACCCCATAATCCAGTGTGCACTCAGAATGACTTCCTAGTTCCCCCTGTGTGTCACATCCATTACTGTCCCCCCATAATCCAGTGTGCATTCAGAATGACTTTCCTCTTCCTTTCTGTATGTCACATCCATTACTGTGTCCTCCCACCCAATAACCCAGTGTGCACCCAGAATGACTTCCTAGTTCCCCGTGTGTCACATCCATTACTGTTCGCCCATAACCCAGTGTGCACCCAGAATTACTTCCTAGTTCCCCCCATGTGTCACATCTATTACTGTACCCCCTTAACCCAGGGTGTACCCAGATTCCCCTCCCCAGTCCCCAGTTACCTAGACTGCATCCATGATTCCTCCCCCATCCTCCGTGTGTCATATCCATTACTGCCCCCCCCCATTAACCCAGCATGCACCCAGAATGACTTTCCTCTTGCTCCATCTGTGTCACATCCCTGACTGTCCCCCATAAACCAGTGTGCATCAAGAATGGCTTCCCTTCCCCTCCTCCTCCATCTGTTTCACATCCATTTCTTTCCCCCCATGACCTAGTGTGCACCCCAAATGCCTTTCCTCCCCCTCTCTATGTGTTACTGTCCCCCTTATAATCCAATGTGCACCAAAATGATACCCTTTTCTCCCTCTGCGTCACATCCATTACTGTTCCCCTGTATCTCAGTATGCACATAGAATGATTTCCTCCTGTAGAAGGGAATGGGTTGGATAATATATGGACCATCACACCTTTATTCTGAATGATCACAGACATGTCTAACTCTGATGTCAGCAGGGATGGACTGACAACTCATGGGGCCCCCGGGCAATAGGGGATCATGGGGCCCCTGTGTCCTTGCCCACACTCAAAGCACACCCAAAAATGCCTATAAAAGGTACCAGGGGCATGTCATAGGGCCCCCTACTGACCCCGGGCCCTCGAGCAGTGCCCGAGTGCTCGAATGGTCAGTCCGCCCCTGAATGTCACACTGCATTTGTCCCTTGAAGCCGTCCACACAGGAAGAAATGTACAGTGGATATAAAAAGTCTACACACCCCTGTTAAAATATCCAGTTTCTGTGATGTAAAAAAATGAGACCTTTAATGTGACCTATCAACTGTGCAACTCAATTGAAAAACAAACTGAAATCTTTTAGATGGAGGGAAGTAAAAATAAAAAGCTAAAATAATATAGTTGCATAAGTGTGCACACCCTTACACTAATCCTTTGTTGAAGCCCCTTTTGATTTTATTCCAGCACTTTTTGGGGAGGAGTCTAGTAGCATGGCACATCTTGACTTGGCAATATTTGCCCGCTTTTCCTTGGAAAAAACACTCCAAATCTGTCAGATTGCGAGGGCATCTCCTGTGCACAGCCCTCTTCAGATCACCCCACAGATTTTTCATCGGATTCAGGTCTGGCTCTGGCTGGGCCATGCCAAAACTTTCATCTTCTTCTGGTGAAGCCATTGCTTTGTTGATTTGGATGTATGCTTTGGGTCGTTGTCATGCTGGAAGATGAAGTTCCTCTTCATGTTCAGCTTTCTAGCAGAAGCCTGAAGGGTTTGTGCCGATATTGACTGGTATTTGGAACTGTTCATAATTCCCTCCACCTTGACTAAGGCCCCAGTTCCAGCTAAAAAAAAACATCCCCAAAGCATGATGCTGCCACCACCGTGCTTCACAGTGGGTATGGTGTTCCTCTGGTGATGTGCAGTGTTGTTTTTGTGCCAAACATATCTTTTGGAATTATGGTCAAAAAGTTCCACCAAATTTAGCCGGGCTCGGATGTTTTTCTTTGTGAGAAAAGGCTTCCGTCTTGCCACTCTACCCCATAGCCCAGACATAGGAATAATACAGGAGATTGTTGTCACATGGACCACACAGCCAGGACTTGCCAGATATTCCTGCAGCTCCTTTAGTGTTGCTGTAGGCCTCTTGGCAGCCTCCCAGACCAGTTTTCTTCTTGTATTTTCATCCATTTTGGAGGGACGTCCAGTTCTTGGTAATGTCACTGTTGCGCCATATTTTCTGCACTTGATGATGACTGCCTTCACCGTGTTCCATGGTATATCTAATGCCTTGGAAATTCATTTGTACCCTTCTCCTGACTGATACCTTTTAGCAGTGATATCCCTCTGATGCTTTGGAAGCTCTCTGCGGACCATGGCTTTTGAGGTAGGATGCGACTAAGAAAATGTCAGGAAAGACCTAATAGAACAGCTGAACTTTATTTGGGGTTAATCAGAGGCACTTTAAATGATGGCAAGTGTGTAGTCACTCCTGTGATGATTGTGCGCAATAGAGACATGGACGCTGTACGTGACAGCCATCTTGTTAGGTCTCAGCCATGTTGTCTCTCCTGTCCTCCCTCCTCCCTTTTGAATGGAATTTATAGCTGGAAGTTGAACGGAGGTCAAAAGGGCCTCTTATCCTAAATAAAACACAGCTAGATGAAGCTCCAGGGCTGTAAACCGCTAATTAGTCTGGTGCAAGGGGTCTGCTTTGAAAACCACTTTCCTCTGCCCGATCGTAAAACAATAACTCAGTCAGTCATGACATGTTAGGCCATTAGGGCTAGAGCGTGCCATAACACATACATTCCACTAGACATTTTTCTTACAATTCATAAAGTTCAGCAGGACCTGGGCACATTATTATTAGGTATATATTCAGATAGATCATTTTAATATGAGTCAAACAAGGCCTTACATGACTATATTAGCACCTAGAAGAGAGAAGAAGTAGTCTCTTCCCTCCTGGGTGACAAGGGTACACTGTGTTTGGTATCCCTGCGTTTGAAATATAATTCTGAATATTAATCTGCCAGTTTCTAGGATGCTACCTGTACCTATTGGAGGTTATTAACAGTATGAAATTGTAAGGCGACTTGGTCATAAACTTGGTTACCTCCTAGCACCCCATCCCCAAACTGGATGATTGGTCATTTGTTCTCAGACGACACCCCTTTAATATGATAGAAAAAGACTGACAGGCTGGAGAAAAGACAACTCTCATTTAAGATCAATCAGGAAATATCTCACAGACTTGAGAGCCAAAGCAAACTTTTTGTTCTGACAATTGGACTCTGCTTAAACCAAGGACACCTTTCTTTTATTTCTCTGTTGTTTTATTGTTCTCTTTATATCTTTGTAACTTCTTTTTCTGTAAATATTTTAATTGCACCATTTTGACCTTTTTAGTAATAAATCCTATTTTGAAAAGTGTTGAAACTGTCTCTAAAGTTTTTAATGCAAGCTAAAGAATCCCTGTCTCTTGAAGAGTGCTCTTGTATGTAATAACCCTCTGAATATCCCTGTCTGCGGTGACAGTGTGTATTACAGACGCTTATGCTAAAATCATAGTGTTACTGCTAAGATTTGTGAGATTCCTCCTTCTCTGTAAAAAAGATGGTGGTGGCAGTGTGAAGAGTTAATTGCATAATTAATCTGACCCAGTAACAATCGCTCTCAGGCTGCTGGCACGTAGATTGTAGTCCCGTGAGCTGGAAAATCATTGTGCAGGGCACAGCTGAGAGTGGCATTATTACGCAAGTGACAGCGTGGTGCGAGATCGGCTAGTCCTTCGGTCACAAGTTGGTTAAAAGGGCGGGGGTCGGACGCCGCGTTCCGTCACAACTCCTATTTAGCATGCTTTTGAATGTGATTGCTTAATTCTGAACACAGCTACATCCCCAGTTATAAGAGGGTGTGCACACTATTGTAACCGCATTATTTTAGTTTTTTGATGTTTACTCCCCCCTAAAATATTTCAGTTTGTTTTTCAATTGAGTTGTACAGTTTATAGGTCACATTAAAGGTGGAAAAAGTTCTGAAATTATTTTCTTTGTCTCATTGTTTTTACATCACAGAAACCTGAAATTTTTACAGGGGTGTGTAGACTTTTTATATCCACTGTATCTTCCGGGTATTTCCATTCACCTTCACTGCTGTGACATGACCAGCATCCAACTAATAAATGACCAATACACGACCAGTATCCAACTACTAAATGACCAATACACGACCAGTGTCAAACTGCTAAATGACCAATACACGACCAGTATCCAACTACTAACTGACCAATACATAGGGTTACCATGTCATCCTTTTAAAACCGAGGTGGTAATTTAACTCACTTAGTGGCTTATATCCATTAAATTAGCCTCAGAACCTGTGTAATTAATGTGTTCGGTTTTAGAGGGATGAGGTGGCAACCCTACCAATACACGACCAGTATCCAACTGCTAAATGACCAAAACATGACCAGTATCCAACTACTAAATGACCAATACCCGACCAGTGTCCAACTACTCAAAAAGAATAAATACGAGCGCATCTATGGAATAGCAGCTGAACATTAGGTACCATACACCCTCAAAACAATGTAAATCAAAAGATGCAGCGCTATAAACTAGAACATATTATTGAATAAATCAAAGAATCAATATTAGATAACTGAACAAATATAACAGTTCATAAAAATGGGTGACTTTAGTGCTCTCCTCTATTTCGTATCCTCCTGGTGATCAGGCGTTGTGCAAAATAGTGCTGAAGAAGTGCACACTCACCAGAACGCACAGGTATATGAGCGTTTTAAATATAGATTCCCCTTAGAATCATCAGCTGGACACGATATGATGGTGTGACAGCCTCCTTCCAGAGCTCCTAGATGTTTCTCTGTAGTCCCTTGGTAGGTGACCTGCGGACTTCTCCTTAAGATTTGTATACGATTCTTACCCCGCAGAGAGATGAGTGACTAAAATGGATACTCCCCAAGGGAGTCAAAACAAAACGTATCCATAGTGTAGTAGGTCATTTAAAAGAATTTATTGAAATCTCAGCAGTCCGTGTACACGGCAGTGTATAAAACAATGTGGACTAACCGTCCAATGGTAAAGATGGCCGCCGGAGCTCCACGATGCTCCGGCGGTATGACGTCACGGCGTTCCTGGCTCCTCCTACGCGTTTCGTGCACACGCACGTCGTCTGGGGGGATTTGCCACTTCACACTCAGCCCTCAGTGCTCCCAGCCCCGTCTCTCCTCCCTCTGTGTACACAGAGGGAGGAGAGACGGGGCTGGGAGCACTGAGGGCTGAGTGTGAAGTGGCAAATCCCCCAGACGACGTGCGTGTGCACGAAACGCGTAGGAGGAGCCAGGAACGCCGTGACGTCATACCGCCGGAGCATCGTGGAGCTCCGGCGGCCATCTTTACCATTGGACAGTTAGTCCACATTGTTTATACACTGCCGTGTACACGGACTGCTGAGATTTCAATAAATTCTTTTAAATGACCTACTACACTATGGATACGTTTTGTTTTGACTCCCTTGGGGAGTATCCATTTTAGTCACTCATCTCTCTGCGGGGTAAGTAAATCGTATACAAATCTTAAGGAGAAGTCCGCAGGTCACCTACCAAGGGACTACAGAGAAACATCTAGGAGCTCTGGAAGGAGGCTGTCACACCATCATATCGTGTCCAGCTGATGATTCTAAGGGGAATCTATATTTAAAACGCTCATATACCTGTGCGTTCTGGTGAGTGTGCACTTCTTCAGCACTAACTGCTAAATGACCAATACACGACCAGTATCCAACTACTAACTGACCAATACACGACCAGTATCCAACTACTAACTGACCAATACACGACCAGTATCCAACTACTAAATGACCAATACACGACCAGTATCCAACTACTAAATGACCAATACACGATCAGTATCTAACTAAATGACCAATACACGACCAGTATCCAACTACTAAATGACCAATACACGACCAGTATCTAACTAAATGACCAATACACAACCAGTATCCAACTACTAAATGACCAATATACGACCAGTATCCAACTACTAAATGACCAACACACGACCAGTATCCAACTACTAAATGACCAATACATGACCAGTATCTAACTAAATGACCAATACACGACCAGTATCCAACTACTAAATGACCAATACATGACCAGTATCCAACTACTAAATGACCAATACATGACCAGTATCCAACTACTAAATGACCAATACATGACCAGTATCTAACTACTAAATGACCAATACACGACCAGTATCTAACTAAATGACCAATACATGACCAGTATCAAACTACTAAATGACCAATACATGACCAGTATTCAACCAGTAAATGACCAGTTTCCAACTAGTACATCATGACCGGTATCCAACCAGTAAAAGACCAATATATTACCAGTACATGACCAGTTGATGACCAGTACTTGAGCAGTAGCAGTACATGATCAGTATATGACCAGCACATGGCTAGTACATGACCTGTACCTGAACACCAGTATAATACCAGCATATGACCACAACTTGACCAGTATATGACCAATACGTGACCAGCATAAGACCTGTCTATCATTGGGTAAATAAGAAGGGGGAGGGGCTATGGTTGTCAGTCTGATGTAACAAAGAAGTAACTTTGTTGACATTATACCAGTGTATGGCATTGGTGGATGGGAAGGGGGCGGGGCTATGGCTGTCAGTCTGATGTAACAGAGCAGTAATTCCGCTGATATTCTATCAATATGACTCATAGCAATTTCCATCACTAAGAACAATAAACTTTGTTTTTCCAAGAGTCGCAGACAGTGTCATATTGACCCTTTCCATGCCACTGGCAGCTAGAGCAGCAACTGGAAGAGTTGATTCCCCCCCCTTGACTGATAACCAGACAACCTCTGCTACATTCTGTCTCCTTCCTGTGTGATTATAATTCTGTCTCCATTATTACTCGTTGGCTGGTTATTATTATTATACAGGATTTATATTATTATTATTATTGTTATTATTATACAGGATTTATATATTATTATTATACAGGATTTATATATTATTATTATTATTATTATTATACAGGATTTTATATATTATTATTATTATACAGGATTTATATATTATTATTATTATTTATTATTATTATATACAGGATTTATATTATTATTATTATTATTATTATTATACAGGATTGATATATTATTATTATTATTATTATACAGGATTGATATATTATTATTATTATTATTATTATTATACAGGATTTATATATTATTATTATTATACAGGATTTATATATTATTATTATACAGGATTTATATATTATTATTATTATTATACAGGATTTATATATTATTTTCTTATACAGGATTTGTATATTATTATTATACAGGATTTATTATTATTATTATTATTATTATTATACAGGATTTATGGCGCCAACAGTTTGCTCAGCGCTTTACAATATAACGGGAGACAATACAGCAACAATACAGTTCAATACAAGAGGGTTAGGAGGGCCCTGATCCTAGGAGCTTACAATCTAAGAGTTTATATACATCCCCCTTACTCCGCCAACCCCCCCCCTTCCTGCTTATATGCGTCCCCATTGACCGCCCTTTTTACTCTCCCACTACCCCCCTACTCCCCTTTTTTACTCTCTTCTGTTAACCCCTCTTTCTTCCCCTTCCTTAAGCTGGCCATACACGTGTACATTTTTGGACGAGAATATTCGTACAAAAAGTCGTACGAAAATTCTTTGAACATTCGGTGAATCGACGAATGTCATTCGAAAATTGTCTTTTTTGCTTTTAACATTTGAGTTTAAAATGAATGTCATTTCTGAATGATAACCACCTATACTGGCCGAAAATTTGTTTAATCGAGAAAAGTTTTCCTTCCTGCCCCTTCGAATTTTCCCATCACTGCGGTCGAAAACAAACATCGAATTGACCCCACTAAAGATTAGAAAATCAAACAAATATTCTTGAAATGAAAATTCTTGAACGAAAATCTACACGTGTATGGCCAGCTTTACTCTCGCTTCCTCCGCCCCTCATCCCCTTTGTTAAGGTGGGAATACACGATTAGAAAAAATTAACTGATCGGTCATCCGACGACCGAGAGGCGTTCGTTTGTCGAAATCATGGCCCACATTAACCAATCTAAAAAAAAATTGTTCGTTGGGCAATACGTAGTGTTGACGTCTTCCGTACAAATGGAAGTGACGCGGTGTGCGTGTGACCTTGTAGCCACGCCCTTCCAGCCAGAATGAGCGATATACACAACAATGACCAGCAATGAGTATAATATTGTTTATTACATGACCTATATACATAAATAGTGATACATAAAATATAATCTGCAGAATTCTGCTTTCATGATCTCATTGGGCCGATCTACTTTTAACATTTGGATTTTTCGTTCGTGTTTTATGAAGATTCCTTGGACATAAACATCCGAGTCATCTCCTGTTTCCGCTCATGTGTGATAGCGCTTGATAGATTTTTTTTCGTACGACCGTCATACCATCGCAGAGAAAATCGGTCGTTCGTATGCATTTTTTCACTGTTGTTCAAATGGATTTTTTCGTTCACAATATCGTTATCGGTTAAAACATCCTGCTAATCAATGAAGAGAAAATCGTTCGATCAGCGGTTTCTACAAACTTTTTCGGACGATTTTCTTATCGTGTGTACGGGATATTACTCTCTCCCTCTGCCTACACCCCCCCCCCTTCCCCCCACCCACCCACAAACACACACACCTTCTCTTCCTATGCTTCCCACTAATGCCCCGTACACACGATAAGAAAATTGTAAAAAAAAAATTTTGTGGAACCGTTGTTCCTGACCCGCCACTAGTGTGGACCCTTCTTAGTGTATATGACCAGTACCTGACACTATACAATGCATATGACCAGTACAAGACTAGTATATACCGGTATATGGCCATTAATACCTGTATACAACCAAATTGACCATTACAACCAGTGGACCATTATACAACCAGTACATTGACCATTGTTACAACCAGTACATTGACCAGTATACAACCAGTACATTGACCATTATACAACCAGTACATTGACCATTATACAACCAGCATAATGACCAGTACAAGACTAGTATAATACCGGTATATGGCCATTATATTACCTGTATACAACCAGTA